TCCCTTGGCCTCAAACATCATACTCAGATTATACCCAGTCTTGGGGATCGTTAGGTGGAAGCTGACAAGAATTTAAGTAATTCTTGATTGTAATCTCTGAATACCCTACTTTAAATCAAACACACCAAGAGTTGTCTCATTCTACATTTTATATTAATTCGACCATTATGACAATTTTACTGACTTGATATCAATGTTGTGGTACTTATTAAACGAATACATAATAATTTAATAATTGAATTCATGAGTCAATAGAAGCTATAAAAAACCTGGAATCACACTGAACAGCCGTTCATTTTAGAATGAGATTTCTCAACAATCCGCATCCACAACCCCTCCCCGGGGATTCGAACTCAAGACTTATCTGTCTCGCGCGCGAACGCAGTGCTGAGGAGTCCCATATTAGGATGAAACGGCCGTCCAATGCTTCCAGGTTTTCCACGGTGGTCCAGCTTCAATTGACACATGAATTCAATTATTAAGTTAGTACAATCTCCACAAAACCCCTCTGATTAGAATACATAGTAATGTCAGAGAAAATTAAATATTACAACTGCACTTTTTGGGGGAAATTATTGAACAATTAGCCATTATTTCGCACTTAATATAAGGTAATTTACTTCTAAATTGTTGAAAACATCAACACATGGTCTAATTCTACGTATGATTTTTGTCAATATTCAAATTTGTCTTTTCGAAACCTTAACTCAAACAGTAACTTAGAGTTTCTTTAAACAGTGGTTATGAAAGTACTGATTCTGTATAATGAAATTAATCTGCCAAACTATAAAAGCTGTCACTCTTGGTTTCTATTCACTTTAAGTTGAACATTTAACGACTCTTTGGAACAAAGTCATGGTTAGAGACCTTGGATGACATGGCTCAAAATCGTTTGCAATGGCGCAGATGCACCCAGTCTTTGTGTTCTTCTGAATTCTTCATTTCCCTTTTTTTCTGTTTTCAAATTTATTTCACTAGATTATACTCCTTGAATAACACTTTCACAGCCTCGACAATTGTATCTGTATGCTAATGTAGTATGGCAACTCGAACTAGTGCAGGCACGTACGAAGTTCTATGTTGTAGCTGACTGACTGACTCTTTGCAACTCGAGAAACAAAAGTTCTATTTTCATGACCAGTGTTACATATAATTAATTAGAATATTCATTTAAGTTTTTAAATGAATCATTTATGTGATTCATAAACTGTTTACATAGTGTTTGCCGTTCATGTTTTTTTCTTCTTCTTAATAACAGGTTCGAAACTGGTCCCAATTTTCTCATGGATTCAAATGGCAAAAGATTTGCTTATGATTCGTTTGCGATATTCATTAGGGGCATGGAAAATTGACCCAGTTTACACTTGAGTTTGTATATCATTGAAAGAATCTCTAGTCATTTTTTTTCATCATATATGTGCAGTTCAATGTATTACACATTCCATTATTCCTATTTTATCACCTTTTTAAGTTTTATTCTAACTCATTCATTCTTATTGTTAATTAAATTTTCTCAAAATAAAATGGCTATTGATAGAGTATTTCTTACAATAACTTAGAAAACTTTCACGTGAATTATGTCCAATGTTTATTATGCAATGATCTATTCATTAGAGTAAAGTTAACTTTGTAAAGTATCCATTTAGGAGAGTTGGAAAACCCTGGTTCCAAACCAATGGTACACATGAACTCCAGGATCCTGATGGAACAAATGGCGTATGAACCTATTGTTGATCACCAGTTACCATAAAACTGTATCTCCGGACATTGCTTCACTACTTTGTGGATCAGATCTTTAGTTCGAAGGCTCGGAGTGTGGCCCCCTAAGAAAACCACTTGTTTCAGTTTGGGCACCCGAGCAGTATCCCAGTCGTCACACAAATCAAGTGACTTATGTGGCGCATATCTATTTGGTGCCTCCTGATATCAATATTTGTGTTCAAATAAATAAATAACAATTTTTGCGCTGTAGATGATGCTTAAATATTTAGAGTAATAAATGACATATCCTAGTTTAAGTAAGATATCAAAAAGACAGGTTCAGGTCTAGTATGACCTGGACTAATGTGTGATTTCAAGTCTATTTATTTATTTATTTGAACACATAAATATTGGTACAAGAGAGCGCCAATATATATGCGCCACACAAAACAATGGGAATTCGAAGAGAAGTAGAAAGAGAAAAAAAACTAAGGGACGCAAAAGAAAAAGAGACCAATGACGAAGAGATTGGAGTAAGGTAGTGTGGTAGTAACGACAGAACGAAAAGGTGCAATCAGAAGAAATCTTTCAGTTAGGGAAGACACAACCATTTTTTTTATGAAGAAAGTAAAAGAAGGTTACAGCAGGATCGCCACTGGCTTCTATTCTGAGCCATATCTGATAACGTCTCTAGCCACTGTGTAGCACCATCTCTCGGACCCCAACCAGGGAGTCGTGAAGGACCAACACAAGCCAGTCCTTTACAGCTTTCTTTCATGCCACGACACCATGTCATGCACTGACCACCTCTCCGCTTCTTCCAACCAGTCCCAGAGTCGGCAAATAATGCACGACGTGGAATTCTCTGGGACGATGAACTCTTTATGCCTATGGATTTCAAGTCTATAATTACTGAAACAGACAGTATTGAAATATACACCAGTGTAAATAGATTTCGTTTATTTACAATGAAGAGATCAATAAATAGAGTGAACTGTATTAGGTCATACTCGGGTGTGGTGTCTGATACACCTAACGGCCTTAAACTGCTTAGCCCCCAAATGCCCTGGTATTGGCCGAGAGTGGGGTGAGTTCCCCCCTCTCGAAATGCTCTCACTCGGCCACGCGTATACAGCCTCTGCCAGGGAAGTCCTGCTCACTGCCCTCACACAAATCGAATGATTTATGTGGCGCATATCTACTTGGTGCCTCCTTGTACCAATGTTTATGTGTTTACATAAATAAACTGTCCTAATAATAGTGTAACTATCTCTAATATTCTGCCATCTCGACTATGGCCGGACTACTGAATAAGTAGGAGAATGAAATAATGCAGAAAGTGAATTCTTTTTTGGCTTTGCAACAGTAATGACTGATGATCAGCCGGGTTCCGACCTACCTTTCGACAGATGATTAATGGCAAAACTCCATACTACCAAAACTTAACCAGCGGTTTTGAAAATCTGTAGTCTGTGGAGGATTCACTTAAAATCGATGTTTGTTGTACTGCGCTTTTAGCCACGAGCAATCACCCTCAAGGATTCTCCACGACGGAGTTGTTAGTACGCCCCGCCATAGTCAATAACACGAATTTCTTTCGAAATCTGTTTCTCTTTAACTAGCGTCCTAGCCAACATACAGCAGAGTCCAGATTTCGTATCATGTTATTTATCTCGACCGAGTTTTCCATTGTTTTTGTGTAACTTTCACTAAAGGAACAGAAACATTTTGTTCCCTAGTTGACGAATACAAGACAACTAGGGAACCCGCATTTAAGTCTATTAGTAAGATAATAGATGAGTGCTAGCAACTGCGTCCGAGTAGTAATCATGCTTGACGACACGAACCATTTGCCCAAATAACAGTGAGTTAGTATTCTAACTTGGGATGTAACGAATAGAAAACAGTTGCTTAAGTCCCAGTTCTCAACTACTCGAGGTAAAACAAGCAGTTTCTTGGATGGATAGTTGGATTATTTGCCCTACTGTTTCGAATAATTGAATTGGCTGAAACGAAAACACAACGTGGAAATCTTACCTAGCTTGAACTAACTTCAGTGAGTCAAATAATTATATGTATGGGTTTGTTTTCTCTTAAGGATCTAAATAAGAGCTTGGTGGCGTAACTGCAAAATACACATTAAGAGAAAGCTTGCATTTTAATGGACTGTTAACGATGAGAAGTGTTCTAGAGAGTTGTTATTATTTAAATGCATAAATATTAGAACAAGGAAGCACATAATTTATGTGCTCACACTTCATCATCTGATCTGCGTGCGGGGATAAATTATGTCCGTGCGCCCAAACCGAAGCAGGCGGTTTTCTCAAGAGGTCACTCTCTGAGCCTTTGACTTAGAGGTCAAACCTCACATGGCAATGGAGCAACCTTTGGAGATGCAGTCCCATGGTGAGCGGTGACCAACAATGGAGTTCATACGCCATTTGTTCCCTCACGATCCTAAAGCCCATGTGCATCAGTTTGGAATCAGGGTTTTCTAACTGCCCTAGATGGACTCTCCGTATCCACCAACCTGGTTAAATCACCGGATATTCATTCTTCGTCCTCAATTTCGTAAACAATAGTAGTGCTGCAAGAAGGACTTTCCTGACAGTGGGTTGTATGCATGTTAGAACATTTTGAGAGAGAGAGAGCAGACTATCTCCACTCTCGACTGTACCAGGGCGTTTAAGGGTGTTTGAATGGTGATTTCTGAGCTTTTTACATTATACCCAAATGTTTTCACTAGCTAGCATTCATAGTTTATCAAGTGTTTTTCATTACATTCAACTTTTTCTATCAAAAATAGTAACTGAAAAATCGGTCTTTCGCAATAATTAACTAATAAAATAAGGTTAGTCAGAGTGAGCTAAGAATAATCCAATTAGATTGACAATTTCTTATATGTTTAAGAGATCTAGTAAGTGAACTGATATAGAAAGACAAAATACATGAAGTAAAGTATTCATAGATACTGAATAATATCTTAAATAAGCCACACAGTCAACGATGTTAACTATTTAATCGAGTTAAATTACTTTCCCAGACTGATATTTCGATCTTACTATTCACTTAATAGCTATTAAATTAGAAACCACCATATCCTGAAAAGTATCTTCAATAATAAAAGAACTACATTCACCAAACTATGTAGTGCTAATTTAGTAGTTAAAGCATTTGACTTCTAACTGTTTTCTTAAGGATACTAACCCCTTACCACGTTTAATTTGCTTCCACGAAATAAACAGAATCAATAGTTCCACTCAAAAAGTGTATCTTAGGGACAAAAAAAGAAAACGTACTTAGTCAATGAATTACATTATATTTTCTCATCATTTAACATACTAATAAACAGTTTAAGTGTACGCGTTATTATATGGCCATCATATACCGGCGTAATTTACTGTTAACAATACACAACAGAAACAAGCCTGAAAGATAAAGCAAATAATAATAGATAAGATTTGTACAATCTAGTCGAATAAACTACTAATCACAGAATAGACAACTGACATATTGGTTTCTAATCATCTTCTGGAACAAAAATTTCATTTTCCTCAAGAAACTCTGCTCCATTTCTACTTATCCATGCACCAGCAAAAATTGAGGATATTACAACACAAGTAATTTTGATCAATCCCAGAGGAGTTGTTAAAGGTCTACAGTGAAGAGCACCAGTTGATGAACATGAACCAGGTTCTCCGGAATAGCATTGCATTCCTCTTGTAGGCAAACTTTTCCGATATTGGGAACGCAGGACATTTTCAATCAACCGCTTACTTAACATCTATAAAATTATTATTTAGAAAACCATTTAAATTATATGCTTCTTTATCTATATAAACGAACTGATATCAAGCAAAAGCTGAGAGTGTAACTTTAGGAGAGATTCTATTTACTGAACACTTTGTTTTATAACTGTCAAATGTAGTCTCCACGGTGAAAATGTGGGATATCTTTCTTCGATGATCAGTAACCAACTAATCACTGTCTAGTAAATTTTAAAGATTGTTAGAGAGACTCTTGCAAAGACGTTCAAGCATCCACAAAACAACACTAATCGATAGTTCTAAAGTTCAGTTAGTATGTGATAAAGCAGTTGCACTGGAGCGAAGACACACTATATTGAAGTCTCAATTCCAAAAGTTCGGGTTCTACATTTACCCAAGTTTTCTTCGTTAACATTCTCTCCCTGTAAAAATTTGAACTGATACACATCAATACTTTTATCGATCGATACTCGAGTATCACAAAACAAGTAGTGATTATTAAACGAAATTGCAAACAACCGTTTTGGTTAATAATTTAGATGTAAAGGGGCCCCCAAGTGCCCTGGTACGACCGTGAGTGGGGTTGGCCCACCCTCCCTTTCGAAATGCTCTCACATGGCCACGCGTATATAGCCTCTGCCAGGGAAGTCCTACTCACTGCCTTCTCGTGGCATTACTGTTATTTACGAAATTGGGAAGACGAAAAGCGAATATCCGGCGTTTTAACCGGATTCCAAACCAATGGTGCACATGGGTTCCAGTATCCTGAAGGAACAAATGGCGTATGAACCAATCGCTGGTCACCGGCTACCATGGAACTGCATCTCCTCACGATGCTCCATTGCCTTGTGGGTCAGACCTTAAGGTCAAAGGCTCGGGGAGTGGCCCCCTAAGAAAACCACCTGCTTCGGTCTGGGCACTCGAGGAGTATCCCAGAGTTCACACAAACCAAGTGACTTATGTGGCGCATATCTATTTGGTGCCTCCTTGTACCAATATTAATGTTTAAAGAAAGAAAGAAAGAAACAGTAAGAAATTTGTACCACCAGCTTTTATTCATATGATAGTGCACATTTACATGTTTATTAATCAATAAGATTCGAACAACATCAGGTGAGATTACCTTAATAGCATTCTAATACTAAGAAAGGTTGACAAATGAGAATTCGAAAAGAACACATCACAAATAATTTAATGAAATCATTAGTGGTACTTCAGTTTCATACAACTTTTTTGGTGAGACTATAATTTATGAACGACCTTTGAGCGACGCTGAAGTGACCCTGAGAGTGAACACCTACTGATTAGGATTAAATGAGAGTTATAAAGCAGTTAGAATTCTCATTGACAGTCGATGGTTGGGGTTAAAAATTAGATTTAGGGTTTTCATCACGAATTGACATGAGTTATAATGCCAAAACTCAATTTAGCCAAATGTATGGATGAATTTCACGCCAAAATTCATGACTCCTTATCTTACATCTGAATGGTTCGCCCATAAATTTTAGCCTCGCCACTCTTTTTCATTTGTAAATATGACTAAACTAAGAACAATTAGTGTAGTAGAGTAATATGAACTCATTATATTTCGCGGTTTACCATAAGCTGCTTACAGCCTATACATAAAAGTATCAATCTTTAAAAACATTAGTACATATACTTTATATCATAACATCAAGTGTTCTCATGAATGAAGATTGATGAGAAGAGTAATAAGTATGAAAGACCGATGAGAGATGTTCAAATGTTAATTAATGTGAATATTCATAGGATATATATATAGCTAAGAACATAGAAACAAGAGTATTTAAAATTATGTTAATGTTATAGTTATGAAATCCTTAAAAATTAATAGTACTGATAAAGTGAGAAGGAATAATTAATGCCACGAAAAAAATTGCACAACAAATATTTATGAATGAGTCTACTACGGTAAGGAATGATTGACGATTGAACATTTCTGGAAACCTAAATTTGGTTTGTCATTTTATGGTAATCGATTTGACAAAACGTAAATTCGAGTTTTTAATTTATTTTTTATCTGGAAGGAATTTTAGACATCATAGCCACGGGCAAGCAGATGGCGTGCGACTACACTTTTGTTATTTTAATCTGAGCTTCTGTGGAGTGTCCTCAACCATACAGACACTAATCCTCCTTTATACCCTTCCGATGCATATGCTTTGGCACGTACATATAAACTGAGAGATACAACCGGAGGTAACATATGGTGGAAATCAGCCAATACATGATCATTTTAATGAGCGATTCCAGTGATATAGAGAGATAAGCTTGGCAGCTGAATATTTCCTTTTTATTATGGCTTTCAGTCGAAAACCAGTTTTTTTTTTCAGCTACTTCATCACTGTTGAAGCCAAGTTCTAAAAATAAAGGCTTCCTCTTCACCATAACATATTCCACTTTCTTCGCTTTAGTCTTCGCATATTTGTCTATGAATTTCTGAGGGTAACCATACTCATGTAAACAACGTCCAACCACAGTTAATTCCTCATCAATTCTATCTTTTCACACGATTGAATGGCGTTTTAGTTAAGGCTTTTTGTAGCCTATTATACACAAGCTATAAAAATACAAGTAAAACCCACTACATCTGTCCTTTCGATAAATACAACTTTCCAATCGACTATTTATACTACGCTACATACCAAGGTCTAGAAAATGAAACACAATGTCATGTTTATGCTCCACTGTGAATCTAATATTTGCATGTGCCATAGTGAGAAGTTATAGTATATGAGAAGCATGTTAATAATCATTACAGGTCACAAGTCAGTCAGTCAGCTACAACATAGGACCAGGCACATACATAAGTCCAAGTTGCTACACAGCACAACAGTGTGAACACCAAATTAATAGAAGTAGTTAATCCAATGGTAGTAATATATAAAAGAAAGATTGTGTATAAGAATATAACACAGGAAGAAAGAATTAGTTCGTAAAAAGAATGGTATAAAGTAATTTTAATCCCACAGTTTAAGGGAAGACAAAGAATGTATACACCTACGCCATTATGATCGATTTTGAATCGCGTCACTTACAGTCTAAAACTATCGGTTACGATAGTCACGCAGACCCTAACCAAGTAGTCTGTATCTAGCAACATCGCTCAGAAAAGAAGTTAGTGACATCCAGGACAGATACCACGTTTTGGTTTGACCCCACCTAACTTTCTTCCATCCGTCTCCAACACTAGTCAGCATTGCACGTTGTGGTAATCGGTGTTCAGACATACGTAACACGTGGCCCAACCATCATAGTCGATGAAAAATCACAATCTCACCAAATGATTTACCATCATTCTATAATACCATGAGTCTAACCTCACCATTACTTGCCTGATGATCCCAGCAGATGCTGGACATATTTCGAAGGAATTTGTGGTCAAATACTAGTAGCTTACGAGTATCTTCTACTCTTAATGGCCACGTTTTGAACACGTAAAGTAGAACAGAACGAACTACCACACATTAAACTCGTCCTTTTATTGATAGACCGATATCTCACCATCGCTATAGGTGATGTAGTTTGGCAAGAGCAAAACGAGCTTTCTGAATCCATGCAGAGATTTCGTTAGACACCAACCCATTAGGGCGACGCGTTCGACTAATTCACTCTCTATTCTTAGTTCGGGTGTTGACGCAGGCCACAAACGTATAATCAATATACCTGACGCACATCAATACTTTTATTACGGCGGTCAATGAGCAAGATAATAGGTATTGAAAGCGCCTACAAAACAAAAATACTCTGATAACTATATGAACTTTCCATAAAAGCCCTTACATATGGTTCGTATATTACCTATTAGGAACTTTACTTATTTCTCAATTGTCATGTACGTGTGGAAGTAGGCAGAGAGACCTGCTGTGAACAAGTCTCTTGAGGGCAAGTAGTTATTTATTTGGACACATGAATATTGGTACAGGAGAGCGCCAATATAAATGCGCCACACAAAACAATGAAAATTCGGGAGGAATACAAAGAAAGAAGAAAAAAACAGCTAAGGAGCGCAACAAAAAAAAGAGAGAACAATAACGAAGAGATTGGTGTAAGGTAATGTGCTAGTAATCAGGGAACGCAAAGGTACAATCGGAAGAAATCTTTCAGGTAAGGGAGACAGAACCAATTTTTATGAAGAAAGTAAAAGAAGGTTACAGCAGGATCGCCACCGGCTTCTATTCTGAGTCATATCTGATAACGTCTCTAGCCACTGTGTGGCACCATCTCTCAGACCCCAACCAGGGAGTCGTGAAGGACCAACACAAGCCAGTCCTTTGCAGCTTTCTTTCATGCCACGACACCATGTCATGCACTGACCACCTCTCCGCTTCTTCCAACCAGTCCCAGAGTCGGCAAATAATACACGACGTGGAATTCTCTGGGACGACATTCGGAGAACATGTCCAAGCCACCGAAGTCGGTGTTTCAAGATGGTGACACCAATTGAATTATCATCTCTGTGCCCGAAAACACGATGCCGAACCTCTGCATTACTGACATGGTGTTGCCACTGAATGTCAGCAATCCTTCGGAGACAGCGATGATCGAACACAGAGAGTCGTCTAACGTCCTCAACTCGGAGAGGCCAGGTTTCACAAGCATAGAGCAAAACTGCTCTCACCGACGCGTTGTATATCCAACCTTTTACGGCCAGACTAACAACACGAAGGCGCCATAGATGGCCCAGATTGGCATAAGCCGCTCTGGCTTTCACTATACGTGCATTGATCTCATCACTCACACCCCCACCAGCACTTATGCAGCTACCCAGATACACGAACTTCTCGACTACGTCTATCTGCTCACCATCCAGGGTGAGTACAGGATTGGAATCCTGCCAGTCTTGTAGGAGTACTTTGCACTTCGAAGGTGTAAAGCACATACCATACCTACGGACACTGATTGCCAACTGATTAAGTGCGGATTGCATGCCTTGGGCATTATCGCACAGTAAGACAATATCGTCCGCATACTCAAGGTCGAGAAGTCTTTCTCCAGGCAACAGATCCACACCACCATTACTTACATTCATCAGAGCTGTTTCCAGAATGTCATCGATGGCAAAGTTGAAGAGGAATGGTGAGATTGGGCAACCCTGCCTAACCCCACTGCTCGAATGGAACAATGGAGAGAGGTGGTTGTATGCCCTCACTCTGCCTGAGGTGTTTTTATACAGGGCTTTTAGGATGTTAATAAACTTCTCAGGCACACCCTTCTTCAATAGACAATCCCAGAGAACAGTCCTATCCAACGAATCGAAGGCAGCCCTGATGTCAAGAAACACTACGATTGTTGGCCTTTGATAAGTATGGCGGTGTTTTAACATTTGGGGGAGGGTGAATATATGATCAATACATCCTCGACCAGAACGAAACCCAGCCTGCTCCTCGAGAGTCAATCTTTCTCGGGTTTTGAACAACCTACGAAGTATGACGGAAGCCAATAGCTTGGACGCAATCGGAAGTAGACTTATCCCCCGATAGTTGTTACAGGAACGACGTGAACCCTTTTTAAAGGGCAAGTAGTAGATGACAAGATTTCTGAGGATGTGAAGTTCGTGAAAAGAGGTGCAATTTTAGTTTATAATATAGGAATATGCAGTTTTTGTGGAAATCTAGAGGTCTTTTCAGTGACTTTCATCTGAATATCTGTAGGTTTATGCATAGGTCGTATTTTTTGGAAGCAGTTTAGGGAGTAAACTAACCAGTAACAACTAATATGCAAATTCCAAGTTTCTAAACTCATAGGAAAAAATTATCTGGAATGTCTCATTACGTCGTCTATGGTGAGTGAAAAAGGGCAACATACAGTTGCGATTCTGCCTAAATAAACACCATATTTTCTCAAAGAATGTTACTTGACTTCCTCTGAAGTTAATATTTATTTATTGTTCTTTGTTTGTTAGTGAAAATGAGTTTGTTGTGATCCAGTGAGATACTTATTACAGAACGAAATGCTCTTTATGACTACAAATTTAGGTTTATTACTTAGTAATGGAGCTAAATGATAAAATATATTTAGAGCGGAAACCTTCTACACAATATTCACACTCACCTTGAATTACCATTTATATTAGATATAGCGCTTACACTAGATGTTCTTGTATCAAATATCTGTGAAGACCGTACAAAAAAGTAAGGGCTTTAAAGTCCCTTCTTGGTGTTTCAGAACGATTTAGGGTCATTGTTGGTTTTCAAAGTGTTTTTTTTAGTTACTCAACCACAATAGATCTAACGTTTGCTCATTGGGATTTCTTACTTCATATGCTTTTATGGGCTACAAAGCAGTTTGTTAGTCAAATAGTCTCCAAAATATGAAAGCAACCTACAGTCATCAAGAACTGCACTCTTCGTTTGCTAAGGCACAAAAGGCACTGTTGGGTAGAATGCAAACGAACTGATAACAACGGCCCGTACAGGCAGTACAAACATATAAGGAGCATATACACGAAGGCTATAAGAGAATACAGGCTTCAGTACCAGATAAAGCTAATCGGTAAATCTGTCTCGGATCCGAAAGGCTCATTCCGTTATGCAGCCTCTCTTCGAAAAGTGAAAACTGGTGTTTCCTGACTGCTAGGTCCTAACGACCAGGCCAATAATCACGATGCCGCTAACCTTTTGGCTGAACACTACACTCAGACATTTCAACGGACCCACATCAACTATAGTGATGGAAGCTTCATCTACAACTGTACAGGACTTTCCGAAGCTAACCCAAGATCTAACTTGGTGTACCGGAAACTGTAGCACTTAAGAAAAATACTTCTCCTAGACCGGATATGGTTCATTCAGCTATACTGAGGGTAGCAGCTTCAATCCTGGCACTACTGCTTAGCGTGATGTTCTCACACTCGCTAAGCCGAGGTAAACTATCGGAAATTTAGGGTTAACTTCGCTTTATCTCAGTCTTCAGTCTTCAGTAATAAGGATAGTAGGTTGATGAACCTGTGTTAATCCTGACACATTGCTTTCCAGTGAAGGTCCAGCTTTTCCTTGAAAGTATTCACTGATGGGGCTGATACCACTTGTTCGGGTAAGGCGTTCCAATGATTGACTACTCGATGAGAAAAACGGGATCCCACTTTAAGTTTATTAGATCGTGGTTTATGAACCTTCTTGCTATGACCTCGGAGATTATTAGTGCTGGAGGGAGCAAAAAGATAAGACATATTAACACCCAAATCATAATTAAAGATACGAAATGCCAGTATAAGGTCACCTCGTGTCCTACGATACGATAAGGGGAAAAGATTTAGGCGTTTTAAGCGCTCATCGTAAGGGAGTCTAGAAAGACCCTTCACTAATTTCGTTCCCACACGCTGGACACGCTCAAGGGAGTTAGTATCCTTTACTAGACACGGGCTAGCTGCTTGGATACAGTACTCTAAATGTGGTCTAACATATATGGGATATAAAATTCGAAACGTTTCCTCGTCAAAAGATTTGAACGCTCGGCGAAGTGACCATAACGCACGAAAACCTTTGACAGCGGCTGCTTTGCAATGCGCAGTTGTTTTTAAGTCATGACTTAATATTACTCCTAAGTCCTTATGCTCTTGAACGCATGGAAGAGGTTTACCCTCAATAGTGTAACGGTAACTATTACCGTGACCGACGTGCATTAGTACACTCTTCCTAGCATTGATTTCTAAGCCCCACTCTCGAGCCCATCTAACTAAATCGTCTAAGTCAGCTTGAAGATCCAGATGATCAGCCGCACTTTTTATAGTTCTCCAGATTTTTACATCATCTGCAAACAATAATGTCGACGACCTAAGTAACAGTGGTAACTCATTAACGTAGAGAAGGAAGAGCAGAGGGCCTAAGATGGTGCCTTGGGGTACACCACTTTTGACCGGCTTCCAATCGGATAGCGTTCCATTGACCCTAACTCTCTGTCTGCGGTCACATAAGAAATTTCCTATCCACTCATGTACAGTACCTATTATTCCGAAGCTCGTGAGCTTCTGCATAAGACCTACGTGTGAAACCTTGTCAAACGCTTTGCTAAAATCTATGAATATCACGTCGACAGACAGACCGTGATCTAGGGCTGCTGTCCAATCCTCCCTCGCAATAAGCAAGTTAGTCAAGCAGGAACGCTTGTACCAAAATCCATGTTGCTCAGGAGCTTACAGATTATGTGAATCTGTGTGGCTTAGCAACCTAACCCGAATTATCTTTTCGAGTAACTTAACGACCATGCTAGTTAGACTGACAGGCCGGTAGTTAGATACTATCTGTCGCTGACCGTCCTTAAATATAGGCCTAACTATAGCGTCCTTCCAATCTCTAGGGAGTTGAGCGAGTGAGAGGGACATGTTGAAGAGTGTCGCAAGCGGTTTTGAAATAATGTCCGCAAGAGATGATAGCAACCGTGGATGTAACCCGTCAGGGCCCGGTATCTATCCAGTTGATATGCGGTGCGTTGAAGTCCCCAATGATGAGACAACATTCTGCCATACTCCAAGAACAGATGTGTCTTAGGATAAAGTCGTCAGCCAGACAAGACGGACTACGGTATATTCCCCCTATAGTCACTAACCCATTTCTAGATTTAATCTTACAACATGCAACCTCACATGTGCCACTGATATGAGCCTCCGATATGGTTGACTGTATACGAAAGTGATCCCTAACGTAAAATATTATACCTCCCCCCTTGCGACTTGAAACTCTATCACTTCTGATACAGATATAACCAGCAATGAAAGGAGAACAGTCTATATCAACGGTGAACCAAGTTTCTGTAACAACGATTATATCGGGACATAATTCTTGCACCATCAGACTTAGCTCGGACGTTTTATTTCTAAGACTACGAGCGTTCGTGTAGCACACACTTAAGGTGTTTTGGAGATCAATCGTTCTACCCATACAGGCCTCGGAAGCATTGGCTTCCAAGACCTGACTACCCGAAAACCCTTAATGGTAAGGTTATTTTCGCCATTTAATTTGCGAGTCCTCAACTCCGTAAGAGCATTCTTCCACTTGATTCGATCCTCAAGCGGCCAATCTGGTCGAATACGGATATTTGAGGCACGAGTTTTTAGTGCGCTTTTTAATAATATGTCTCTTTCTTCGAAACTCCCGAGAACCAGCTTCAGGATCCTTCTTGGTTGGGTCTCGCCTCCAACCCATTTACCAAGTCGTATTACTTTTGTAATATGTACCCCTGAAACCTCTTCAGGTAGTACATTCCTCACCACAGACTCCACTAACTGCAGGTCATGTGCGTGTCTTTTAGCAGGGTCGTTGTCTTTCGACTCCTCTAGATTCCAAATAATTAAACTAGGGATGGGTTTAGCTTCTTTTGAAACTGTGTTCACAGCTTTCGACCGTGACGTTAGATCCTGTATTTTAACTACTGGTAGCTTACGATTAGTTTTTATTTTAACAGAGTCCTGGGAGTCAAGCGAATGACTAACAACAATGTCAGACGAAGCTTTACTATGAGACTTTGGCGGATTGGTCTGAGAGTCCACCAAGGACTTACCAAGTAAACAGTCATTAGTTTTAGCTATCTTTCCTACTCTTCTGCGTTTTCGCGTCATCCATTTTCCACCAGTCGAAACGTCTACATTAGAACAACTCGGGACAGTAATTGTTTTATCTGGGTCACCGGTTGCTGCTGTAGCAATATGGCCACCAACGTCTAATGACGTGTCACTCACTGATCGTTTCAGGGGAGAACGTTTAACTGCGGGTTGCACAGGTAGATGTCTAGCTTGCGCCGTGATAGCACTTACGACACTAACGCAATCTTCGCCATCCGTACCAATGTTATCAGTACAGCCCTCATCAACCTTCTTATTAGCCAACACCAGGAGACTAATTGCTTCCTGGATAAGCAATGTTTTGCTCGAGCAACAAAAACTACAAAGCCAATGAGAGTTGGGCTTTGAGCACCTTTTATATGCAGTGGGGCTTATTCGGGTGCACATCTTATGGAACCACTTATTACACTCATCACATTGCATCCCTTCATCCACGGGAAATAAGCAGTATGGTTGTCCACATTTATGAGTAGACCTAGCCATCTTGAAAATCAACTAGAACGGTGACAAAAACAGGATATGTAAAAGGACTTTCAAACCTTAACTAAATAAACCAAGTAAAAGTCGACCAAGTATGCTTCGATGCAATAAATACACAGAAGCAAAATCGAAAAACTCAATAAAATATCACTTTAACTGGGGTAGATACAATTAAAGTGTAAACAGTAGTTTTGATGCGTAATTTACGGTCAAAACAGTTAATTAACTCAACGAGAAAGAATACCACTGTCCTTTTAAATAGAGCGCGCGACTCAGACTATGGAATATCCTGGTGGGGTCCCCCGGGGCTCACTACTAAGACCCCTTATCTTTTTGATTTACATAAATGATCTTCTTCAACAGGTATCGTCAGATTTATTGCTTTTTGCAGACTACAGTTACAACCTAAGAAACTCCTCTCTAGAAGTATCCGAAGTTGAAGCTGCTAACGGTTTCGGGATGTTCCGGGCTGTTTACAAGTCATTCCACAAATTAGACAAAATGACTGAGGGTGTTACGCACGAATTTTGTAAGGCCACATTTAGAATATGGAATCCAAGCAGCGAGTTCTTGTTTTAATTACGAAGTGAATACGCTTAAACGAGTTCAGTGGCAACGAACACAAATTATAAAACGTCCCTCTGGACGTCCTTACGAGGGCAGACCGAGACGTCTTAATCTACTTTCTTATCTTACTGTAGGTAACGAGGTGCATTTAAACTAGATTACTGTAAACTAAATGATAATTTCGGTAATGTCTTTTCCTTCTATCTAGAACTGATCGTCTGAGAAGACATTCTAAGAAATTTCAAATGTCGAGACCAAATCGTTTAATTCTGAGGTTTTGTTTCTCGCACCAAGTATACTCGGTAGTAGTACATACTACAGAAGAATGAAGATTATAGATTGTCTATCAAAAAGACACCAGTAGGTGAGAACCATTTATCTTTCATGAGGAAACATTTCGAACTACAAAAGCTTAATTACTTGCGTTTGGTAGTTGTGTGGACTAGATACAAGCAAATAAGCTTCGACTACTCCTCTGCAGCAATATAGTAGCGCAACATCCGAAACTACGCTCGGCGGCCTGCTTGAGCATCTGGGCTACCTGTTCCTGCCATCTAAATATTTCAACAAGTTATCTATTTTTGTTTGTTTTAATATATCATTATGTCTATTAATCGCACAACCCAGTCTGCTGCG